GATAAGATTTGAGAAAATATTTTGCTTAATATGAATGTGCATTAAAAGTCCTTAAACACCTCTGTCTAGCTTCTGGAATCATCATATTGTAGCAAAAAGGTAGGACAGGTCTGTTGCTGTCTTGCAGAAGACATTTTGGACAACGAGGATATTCAAAATATTGTAGGAAGTCCAAAGATTTAATTTTAATTCATAGAATCACAAAATTTTAAGGGGTTGGAATGGGCCTTAATGACCATCCAGTCCTAAACCCCCTGCCATGGGCAGGGACACCTCCCACCTGGTTCTGGAGCCCCCTCGCACCTGGCCTTGAACACTTCCAGCGTTCCAGCTAGTACAAATGCTTGTATGATTTTAAAACTGAAAAATGGAGCTTTACCTCCAAATTATGCTTAGGATTTAATCAAAATTAAGCCCTATCAGAAAAATAAACAACCTAAAAAACAAAACAAAACCCCTAAACCTCCCCCGAAATCCCACAAACCAAAACAAACAAAAAACTCCCCAAAAATAAACATCCCCAAAAAACAAATAAAAACAAAGAACAACAAGCCAGGAAAAAAAAAGTAGCAAAATTATGATCAAATGCTTTACTGAAGGGTAGCTGGTGTGAGTACTTCACCTCTCAAAGAATGTGGTCTGAGAACTAAAGACATTTGCAAAGCAATTGCTTTTAAAATTGTCCGTGGGATTTCATAGACAATGAGGTGCCTATGAGGAGTTGAACTGCTGATCAAGTCTAATAATGCAACAAAAATGCCCAATGCTGTCTTACCAGAGCCAAATATGGCAGAATCTATTTTATTTGCAGAAGTGCAAATTTCCAAGCAGCTGCAACTCAGTGAGCAGACAGCAGAAGGCACAGCTGAGACAACACAAAAAACATCATCCAGGACTGTAGGATTTTGTGACTCAATGATGCTAGCAGGAAATGGAGAACAAAGCAAGGCCATCATACACATAATTCTCCCATTTGTGGGAGATTACTGTGCTCCATCAGTCAAATAGGAATTATTGCTGGCTGAGTTGGAGACCCATAGTTGGTAATGCATTAGATGAGTCTTGCAAGTAAAACTGTTGGGCTTTCAAGTGGGAAAAGTCTTTAATTTCTAAAAAAACTCCTCTGTTCTACTTTTGTTTTCCTTTTGGCTAAAAGGGATGGGTATGTCATTACCTTACAGAACATGGTTTGTATCAGGTGTTCTGTATATATTTAATTTTTCTGTAAAAAAACCCCACAAACTTCATTTACAAAAAAACATAAAACCATCCTACTGAAGAGATACAAAAGCCTACAAGGCTCTTGGACATGTAATTATCAGTTGTCTACCCACTATCACAGAGATCTCTTGTGAGGAATGTTGGGAGAAGTGTATGCAAGGGTCAATATCTCTGTAAACAGCCTGGTAATGGTGTAAAACCACACAGAACATCTTTTTCTTCAGTCACTTCTTCAAATATTTTTAATCCTTGTATTCTAAACTAAATTTCCCCCATTACTCTGACACATGGCATCACAAGACTCTACCAGCAAAGAGGCAAGTTCCAGAGACACCATAACGTGGTTACTCAAAAAGCAGTAATTCTAAATTAGCAAGTTTTAGTCAACCTATACTATTTGCTATCCTAGATTTGAATGTCTAAATTTACTGTTCTAAATGCTGTCAAATCACTAATATCCTCTTGCAAGTCATCTTAATTTCCAACATAGTAATTTTCCCTGTAATGACTCTTCATTTAAGAGTACATGTTTACAATTTTCTACCATTTAGGTGATTTAAGTATATCATCTACTGAATGTCCTGGTCTTGGCAGCAATGAATAATTTTCTTGACAGATGGAATATGAAAAAAAACTAAATAAAACATTTTCCCAAAACATAAATAGCTGGCAGTTATCCCTCAGAAATAAAAGTCTTTCTTAACTTAAAAGCAACCAGCATGACATGTTCTCTGTAAAAACAAGGTCAAGAATTTAGTTATACTCTTGACTAATGCCCTATTGCAGTGCAGAAGGCAGGCTATGAGGACAACATACCAACCATTTAGATGCTTCCATTCATTATTAGCCATTTCTCTTTTTTCCCCTCCTTCTCTCCCCTCTTTCAGCGACAGCATAATCCAGGTGCTCACAAAACTGCATCTTAGTCCTTCCTGAAATTTACCTTCCCAACATCTAATCTAATCAGATGTGACATGCACGCCACGTATGGGCTCTGCTCACAAAAACAAAGAGAACAATGTTAAGGGATCACTGCTTGCTGTATGAAGTAGAAATTCAACTGTAGGGACACAAAAGAAAGGGATGGTTACATTTGCACTGATAAAATCACTTGCTATTCAGTGAATTTAGTTACAGCAATCAAGGTAAATGCAACCAATTCACAGCAATATTTATATATATTTTATGTTATAATGTTTATAAACAGATGTAGGGGAGATGAAAAATTTCAGACTGATACTTAAAGGAATCTCAGTTTAGAAAAATGAATCCCACAGTAAGAATATGTGACTGCAAGTATAAGCTAAAGTAAATTAATGCAGCAAAACAGTAGTGATTCTCAGAATAAATAGTGTGCAGGGAGTTTTAGATATGTGAGAAATACAACTAAGCAGGCATTTTTAAGACATGGAAATTACTAATAAGCAAGAATTAAATATATCAGTACTGTGGACATTTGAAATAACTCAGTAAGTCTGAGTTGAATTTAGATGAAATAGATAAAGCTACTTGAAGCTACAAAACGAAAATCTTAAGGTTAGAAAGAGATCATTGATTGCCACTTGGTCCAGGGAAGGTAAAAGCGGAATATGTCCAGTCACATAACCCTGTTATATTTCCACTGGTGCATCTTCCCCACCCAGCCCAGGGTTTGAAGGATGTTATAGCCACAAAGCCTTTCTGAGCCCTGCTGGGCTGAGTCTGAGGAGCAGGAATCAATTCTACATTTCACAAGACTTGTCTGGGGCTCATTAAGAATTAGGACCTGTAAGAAGGGGTTTTTTACATGTCATCTATTAGGTACCTGTTATGTTCCACAGTCCCTGCCCAGAACACACGAGAGCCAGCAGTGCCACTCACCTCTGTGCTGCCCAAGGACACAGCTGCCCCAGGAGTGAAGGCAACTGCAGTCCCCAGCCTCAGGCGACACTCACCCTGCCCTCAGCTACAGCGGCAGAACAAGGGCACAATTCACAGCCTACATTCATCCTGTGCCAGCTCACAGGGCAAAGAGAACTCCGGAATTGCACTGAGTCTTAAAAGAGGTGTAAGAACTGATAATCTCAAATGTGAGATTGCTAGGTATACTAGAATATTATTTCCTAAAGTGAAACTTTTTTACCTAGGAAAAAAAGCTGTCTAAATACCTTTAACTCTGGGCTGTGCACCAGTCTTACAATAAGAAAAAAAATTAGAATTATTCTAGAACCATTTTGGATAACATATTGTGATTGCAAGTATTGAAGAAAATAACTCTGAGAAATAAAGGTTCAAAGCATTAATAATGATTCCTCTAATTACATTAAACAGCTTTAAGTAAAAAATAGATACCATTTCACTTTACTGCATCTCATAAGAGACATTAAAACTGATTTGCTATTTATGCTGAATGAAAAGGAGGAAAGGTTTCACCTAAAAAAATCAAGCAGTATCACTGTACATTCAGCTCAAAGAAAAAAAAAAAAAAACAAACCCTCAAAAGGTTAAACAAAGTATATTTCATGAAATGTTTTAAATTTTTGTAAAACAAATGAACATCAAAAGAAACTCCCAGAAAACCAAACTTCTTTCACTTGATTCTTCTATGGACAATTTTTTGTGAGCTTTACTTACTGTTTAGCAACCTTTTAAAAAACCAGAAATTATTACAGATGTTTAAATACTCAGAATAATAAATGCCACACACAGCAAAAAAAGTTAGCATTATTGAAGACATTAAATCACATATTTATTTCTAACTTATTCTAGAAGAAAATAATAAAGATTATGATTTTAGAATCTTAAATTGAAAACTACACCAAAACCATTACACTGGCTCTCATTCCATTAATATAAATATGTGTTACGTAGCTGGTTTTTATTTCACTTTAAACTACAGCTGCATGTCAAGGAACCAAGCATCTGTTGGTTCACTGACAATCACAGAAAGTCCAGACTTGCTCACAGCCATAGCGCCAGAGCCCATGGAAAACACAACAGGACACAACAAACACTGGTAAATGCAATCCCCAGCTCTGCAGCATTTTCTGTTGTTAGCCCAGACAATGCTTTCCTGCTGTTTTGTTACCTACCCACACAGCACTGGCAGTCACCTTTTGCAGCTATATTGTTAAATCCATTTCTCAGCAATAATTTATCCTGCTGACATCACTCAACAGACAATTTCCCAAGTTTTCAGAACTTCTCAAGAGTGAAGCCCTTTTGTTGATTTCTCCAGTCACCCCTCTCCATACAGCCATACAGAACAACAACAGGCAGTAAAACATTTCAAGTCATACCTCATCTTAGTGAAAATCAGAAAGCTGATTCATCTGGGTAGCATACAAACCAATCTAATATTCAATCCAAAATATTTTTAAAACATATCAGCTAAACTACCAGTTCAGCTGTCATATACATTTCCTGTTTTTTTCTTTAATCTTCGTTTTGCATTTTATATTTCAATTCCTTTGAAGAATCAGTTCTAAACTAGGCTTTTAATCCAGAATGAGTATTTCAAATAATATTTACAGTCTTATCTGTTCTTAATACAGGTCTCTGAACTGTATTAAAAATGGCAGTTTATCTCAAACATTTGTATAAAAATAAAATCCTTAGATTTAGAACACAAACTTAGAATACTTTTTTTTTCTGGAATACCATCAGTTATATAGAATACAGTAATAAAAAGAAAATCATTAACAAAGAAACAAAAAAGAGCAAGGAATGGTTTTTATTTTTAGCTTTTTCATCATGGTTTTAAATTAAGAGGCAGAAGAATTAGAAATGTTCCTACTGACCTGAGTCCATAAAGGACTGTGCCATCTGGATGCAGACGAATCATTCTGTTCTTCACAGTAACACCATGAACAAATGACTTCTTGTCATTCAGGAAATAGGTATCAGGCACCCAGAGCTGATCAGCTACTCTGTTGTCCAGGGTAAGGTTCAGAGGTATTACATTGTAGGACAGCCTCTTATCCCTCCATGCTTGCTGGAAGTACATTGTCAAGGTATAGTCCTGTGATCAGAAAAAACAAACAAACAGAAAAAAGTTTGCATTGAAAGAGACATATGCAAAAAAATGAGAATGCAAATGCACATGTATTCATTGTGACTGTTCCTAAAGGCAAACACTTCTGTTCAGAATTTCCATAAGTAGATTTATTTATTTTTACTGTACTGAACATCTTGTATGCGCTTAATAACAGCAGTGAGAACACAAAGATGATGGGGCATTTAAATTTTATGAATGACTTGGAAGTTCTCACTTCAATATTTAAAAATAAAATTTAAAAAATTGTAGACATTTAACAGCCTGTAGCACTTTACAAGCCTGGGAGTTCTAGGAAATAGAAGCATTCACAGATCCAAATTTAATTTCAAGGTCTCCACTGTACTCATAGAGCTCTGGATCAAGCCTTCTGTTCCTGAAGTTGCAGTCACCACCCAAAGACTTCCCTAAATTAAAATTTCTTCCAAGTCTGTTAACTTTCCCCCAGGCATTGAAACCAATGGGAATTTTTTAAGGTTCCTAAGCTACACACTTAGTCTTAATTTTACAGATGAAGTAACTCTGGTTACTTCTTCTTCTTACTCTGGTTAATTCAGAGAGCACAATTAGCATCTCACTAATTATTCACAGTATTATGAGACTATCATTGTCTTGATGCAGACCACCACTGTACAGTGCTTCAGAGATGTTTTGACTTATTGATTTTTTAAAGAAGAATACATTTGCAAAGGTTATACCTTTGTCAAAATTGTTATCCGGATGCAGACTCATCATTATATTTAGCCAATGCTAAAAAAACCTCTACAAATAGTACACAAATATATTGAGAGCAACCCTGTGGAGAAAGAGTTGCAGAAATGGCAATATTAGTTCTTATTCCCTGTTTTACGTTGTGAAGGAGAGTCCACTATCTAAAGCATTTTTTTATTACAGTTGGACAAGAAAAATTTATCTTCCTGCTGAACTATTTTAAAAGCATATACAACAAGTGCATTCTACAAGCATTCTCATTTAAAAGGATATTTGACATATGAACATTATATAGAACGTCTCGGAAAATACAAAAATAAATTTTTCTTATTCTGCAGTTTCACAGACTGAACACCGCAGCAGGAAATCACTGAAATTGGGTTGCTGTAATTATTTTCTTTACAATGTACAACACCCAACCCCTTGAACTAGGGAGTGCCTGTGAGATCTATGGCTATTTCAGCAGAATTCTGTAAGCAATGACACAGAACCTTGAAACTAAGTGACCCTGCCTCTTCTGCAGAACAGTGTGCACTTAGAGAAATCAGTATAAACTATTTTTTATAGAAATGTGCATTTCAGTAGTGGAAAGACTCTTATTTTTTGCCTCATCTCTCCCTAGAAGAGCCCATGTTCATGGGCTTGAAAATGCCTCTTCAATTTTCAGTGAAGCAGGGGGAAATACATGTTCTGTTGTGAATAGTTACTGCCTTTCTTCCTTACCAACACAAACCACAGATGGTACTGCTGTCCCTCCAGTGCTCCTGTCTGCACTGGTTACAGGTCAATCCCCTTCCCTTGCTGCACCCCTGGCCATGCCTGGAACCCCAGCACCTTTGGCCAGGTGCCACAACAGCCACTCTGCAGGGACTCAAGTAGGAAAACACCAAATAAGCCTTCCCAGCTGTTTAACTACCAAATATATTCACCTGGTGTTCTACAGTCTGGTCAGTTTTAACAACCTGAAGCCTCTTCCCACCTCCCCAGCATCAGGATAAGATTCTGCTTGCAAGAGCATTCCACCTACATCTGAAGAATTTTACTGTTATGCTTCATCACTGTTCTGCAGGATTTGATTCATAACCAGCTATCAGAAAATATCTCCAGTAGCAAAATTTATTAGTCTTTATGATACTATTATATCACATCATCAAGTAATGATCTGTAGCAATTGTTTCTCTATTATCCTTGGAATGCTGCATTTCATTCCTGTTCCAAAGAATAACCTACATGTATTAATATACTGCATAAATACATAGAACATGCTTTCCTTTTTACACCTCAGTAAAAGAGGAAAAGAAGAGGAGGAAAAACCCTAAACATACATGGTTCATTGCATAGAAGTGAATTACATAAAACTGTAAATTTGGAGCACTGGCATTGCTGAAAGAAAAGCCAAGTCACCAGGCTGGATTTTAAAATCAAACACACTGTGTTCCAGAAAGAGCTGGTGTTCTGACTAAAAATTATTTGTCATCTGTTGGCCCTGGTTTTCAGATGTGACTGGAGTTTCTGATGGCCAAAACAGAAATCCTTTGAAATTGTTATAAAACTCTCACAAGCTTTTGAATTTAGGTGGTTTTTTTAATGATCATTTTTAAAAACCCCAATGATGTTCCAAGCTACATATTTCAAAGTGAAATTGATAAGACAGGAAGAAAGCAAAACCTGTCACATAAACTGTGATCTATTCCTTAGAAAGGAGAGATGCATCTGTTTTCAAAATCCCAAATGAAAGAGTAATTCAAAAAAGTGTGCTGGTACAAAATGTCCCTAAAGTATCCCAAGACCCTTTACACGATGACATTAAGAACACTGTCATTTAATAGGAATAGTACAAGAAAAAAATCTGTTAAGCTCACATTTGGTATGGGCATTCCCCTCTATTCTAGGGATAAATATCAAATCAAACATGTAAATATCTTGTCTCTAGGAAGAGAGACACACAAAAGAAGTAGAGGACCAGAAGTAAAGAATGATTTTATTTTGTTAAGGTTTAGCATCCTTTTAAATTCAGAGGATGGGATTGTTAGAACCAGTATAAGTTTGAAGAGGAAACAAGAAATTTCATTTTCACAGCCTTGCAGAAGGGACTAATTCCAATGAGCTGAGAGAACTCCAAGCTCAAAGCTCCTGATGATGGTGTCAGTGTAAACCACTGCACAGACACAAACTACAAAGGTACAGACTGTTTGCAGCACAGCCACACAGACACATTTCTCCATGGAAATAAAGAGGTTCCTCAGCTGCCCTGGACATGAAATGCTGCATAAAAATGTATTAGTGTTGACAAAGTTGTAAGAAAAAACTAGAATATAAAGAAGCAAACATATTTTCTGTATATTATATCTTTTGTAGTTTTCATTATTATTATTTTATTATTACATTGTTTGCCTAGATTTTAATTTAATATTTTTTTTGTTCCGTCCAGAGAAAAAATCCATCAGAAAATGGATCATTATCCCTATTCTGTTGTGATCAAACAAAAGATGTCTCTTTTCCTCACCTCACCTTTCCACTTTTCCTCTTCTTTATTTCATACAATGGACAAAAGAGCAGCAAATACAAGACAAAGTTAATGTTTATGCATAATTTTCCATATTAATATAAAAGTATCAAACAGTTTCATTAGTATTAGCATATTCATGAGTAACTTTTATTCTGCGCATTAACTCTGTGCAGTGGTTGCCTGCAAACAATTTAGCTGCTGGAAGTATAAATACACTGAAGATTTAAACTTGTATTTAGATAAACAGAAGTATTACAGACAGACATGGTGCCAGTGAATGGCCATCAATTTCAATTAGGTAACAGAAGATACTGGACAGGAAAGCATCAAATCTGAATACTGGCATTCTTATTTATATTCTCACATTTCATTCATGCTCTAAAATAAATATTTAGGCAAAAAAAATCAGTTTATGTCTATTATTAATTTGAAAAGATTAGAACAAAGGCCTTAGCTAAACCTACCCATGGGCCAATAACTGACATATTGCTGATCCTCTTTTTATATTGGAAAAAGGATCAAGGCAAAAAAGGAAATAGAGGTCATGAATATTCACAATGACAGTGGGTGTCTAATGCAAAAGACTCTACCAGATGTAAATTTTTTCAAAGCATAATAATAAGGTCCAATGTGAGAAAACATATTTAAAATATAGCTTCTTCTTCTGCATTACACAAATCAGGACTGATTCACACTGCAGCTTAAAACTGTAACCAACACTGTATTAACAGGGCTAGAAAACATCTATTGAAACACTGGAAGCAATAAAGGCAGGAAACTTCAGAGGAGAAAAAAATAAACAGCAGGAATATACAATACCTAAAGTATAAAATGTACATTCTGTATTTTGTAAACATGGAGTGAAGACTATAGACAGTCTATAGACAGAGTGAAGTTGAAACTGTTAATCATTGCTCTGCAGTAATGAATGGAGAGTTCATTTGTGGTTTGGCTTAAGTCCACTCCTCATCATATTCCTGGTCATTACTAACTTGTAAAAATTCTTTACTACATTTCCACATATGGCTATTTTAAAACAAAATAATTTCCTTCTGAAATGCTTGAAGCCAAAGATTTTGCCTGAGCACTACATTTATTTAACACATACTTTTATAAAACTGCTTGTTGATAACATTTAAAAGTGCTGATTGACAATCCTTTCAATCTTGTTTTTATTTAAAACCAGCCACTACAACATGTTTGATTCAAAATTATCTGTCTCATTTTCTCATGGAGACAAAATAATGTAAAAAGTCTGCTTAATGCTGGAGACACCACAAAATACACAAAGTGACATATAAAAGTAGAAAGAACTGTTGAAGGAATGGGTGATAGTAAAGAAATGCCAAAATAGTCATATGCCCTTTCAAAAAAAAAAAAGTACTTTTCACATTCTGTAAATCTTTACTTAAAAAAAAAAAAAAAACCAAAAAACCCCACAAAACAAATAAAAAGCCACAAACAATGACATCAGGAACCTTACACAGAATTCAAGTTGAATTCTCTCAGTCTATCAAATCTGACTTCCCAAGCTGGCTTTAAATCTGTGAAACACTTGTTATTAACTGAGTCTCCTAAAACTTACTAGAGGAATTTTCCTTGATGGGAATTACATCTTCACAAGTTTATGATCTTTTGAAAAAGAAGATCCCAGCACCAAGCTTACCATTTATTTTGCTGTGACTCTCCTGGAATTATTCATCAGCAATTCTCATTTGTCAGCTGAGCAAAGCAGCAAAGATGGGCT